TTTTGGCAGATTCCACATATCGTCAAGAAAGTCTAAATATTCATAGAAAACGCAATAACATGAAAATTAAAACTCTCACAGATTACAGAATAACATTATGGTAGTTAAGCTGGTAGCGTGGCCAAAATCTATAGAGCCGTGGGCATATTTTCTACAGATCTACGGCCTTCAAAGTATTTTTAAGTTTTCTGTTAAGTTCTTGTTCCCACCGCTTAGAATGCACTCGATTTTATCATTTAAATAGAGCGTCCTAGATGGTATCTTGGGTAAAGTTATGCATTTCAAAATATGAAGAAAGCCAGAGCTGGGAACCAGAAAAAGATGGGTTGTAAAAACTAATGATTAACATATGAACTGAACCCAAGTAGTAAGTTTTATCAAGGTTTTAAAACAATATATGAGTCCAAACCATGAGCAACAAGGCTGTGGTAAAGCCAAAACTGCTATTTGGGAAATTGGTTTTCCCAAATGTGGAAATAATGCTCTGGATGTTTAAATGGCCACCAACTGCTCAATATATATAAAAATAATTTAAAAAATTAATTGAGGGATGATATAAACCAGACTTAATCGGTTACTGATCATGAATATTGATTAGGAATTATTTATGAAAAATAACATAAAAATGTAAATTGATAGTTGAACATGTGCCAAACAACAACATCAATTTCATCACAACAACGCCATACTGGTTCATCGATGACAATGGACAGAATTCTGACAACTAGAACCAAAGGTAGAGCGATATTTGACAAATCTGCCATAATCTTCATACAAATATTTTCGCTACCTCTAAACTGTCCATATGTTGATCAATTTTGATGCACTTGAAAAGCGAAGGAAGTTTACAATGGTAGCTTTTATAAACGATGTTGTAGCACAAGGAGTGAATGCCAGAGATTTTAGAAAATCTAAATATTTATGCTCCCGTTGATCCCTAAGAAACAAAAATATGTTTTATATTAACAACCAAAGAACAAACTATAGCAGGAACGCGCCTTTAAATAGAATGATGTCTTGTTATAATGAACATTATGAAACAATTGATTTGGCAATGAACAAAAATGCTCTTAAAAAACATTTCTTTTTGACGTTAGTCAGAAATTAAATTATTATTATTATTTAGCTTTATTAAGGAGGCTTTCAGCCTTGGGCTGCCAGAAATTAAAAATTAAAATAGATGTTAAGTGTTGTTGAAGATGCTAATTTCAAATAACAGACTAAAGTGGTAATGTTTATACGATAAATGAGGAGATGAAAGCATAGAATTGATAGTTCCGTTTAGAGTACGGCAGTGTGAAAATTGCATATAGAAGTAGAAAGCGAGCTAGACAACTTATTTTTTTTGTTCTTTATTAAGGAGATTTTTAGCCTATGGCTAGTTCAACTCGGAGCTAGACAACTTTTAGGAAGGTACAAATCAGTTTTATCATCTCTCTTTACCATACTCCCCCTTTGAAGAGGGATGGTGAGGAGTGTCCTCCCCCCCCCCCCGCCACCACTGGTTTTTGTAACTTAAACTGGTCTACATTTGATTAAAGACGAATAAATAAATAAAACGCATATCAGTCCCATATTTGCTTGATGGGATTAAATTGTTGCACAGGTAAACATTATTTTGGGTTATGAATCAAACTGGCATGTGGCCTTAATGATTACATATACGTTTTCAAATTGAAGCACCTTTGTCGCCAAAAAGCCGATTGTGAAAAAGTGAATAACCGTAATCCGGGGGCTTATTGTTCACTTTTTAACGAAAATATCGAATTAAATTACTAGTAAAACGACATTAACAAAATAATATCATTAAAATCAGTAGAGTTCTCAATCCTTCGTTTTACATGACAACTCATCATATTGAATATTACGAAAATTGCACTTTGTTTCAGAAAATCAATTAGTATTACCTATCTCTTAACACGGCAAAGAGTTGTACATTTTTCTTTTGCATGCCCAGACGTATCTTCCCCCTTTATTTCACGTGAAATAAAATATATCGAAGAATGCTACCTGGAATAAGAGTGAAGGGCTGGAATAAGCCTAATGGGCATTTGAGAATTCTAGAAAACCACAAGGACATATAATCAAGCAAAAAATATATCAGGTTAAAGGTATGACTTTTATGTAATACGTTTGATAAATGTCGTAGGGTCGAAATTTTGAGTTGAAGAGAATTTATTGCTCTTCCATGCAAACCCTCCTGGATCTCTTTTGACTTTTTTTTGTTACGGAAGTATCGATGGAGCTTATCTATCATAATGGGGTGTAGCACTACTTAATCACATGGGACCAATTTTCGTCAAACGGGTCAATAAAATTAAAACAAACAAATCCGTGTATGCACATTTTATGCTCACGAGTTAAACAATACAAGACAAAGTAGTATGCCGAAATGAAGAGAAGTATAAAGAATTGGTGCCACCAATAACAGGTACATTTCTTCATTAAGAGGCATATCTGAAAATCATACAAATATTGTTAGTCTTGACCCACATAAAGGGGTAAATAAATTTGTTAAAAAAAATGGTCTTGCATAGAGCAGCAGTTCCGTTCAACGAATTTTAAATCGCTTTGATTGTCTACATCAGTTTGCAATAACCCAGAACATGACATCATATATGATCAAAATTATCCAGTCCGTCAATAATAAACTATCATACATCGTCTCTGTTGTACTTACGGCGATTATTTTGGTTCGTTCGTTTAAAGTGATGTTTTGCGATAATTTGGAAAATTGTGTTGTGTATGCTTCCCAGTCGCTGTAACGGCGTAGAATGGCTGCATTGGGGAAGAACATAAGAGAGAAGGAAAAAGCCGAGCATACGCTTCATCATTAAAATTTCCTCGTCAGCCTATCCAATGATAATAATGTGGTTACGATCACTGGGTTGTTTATAAACGCGGTGGTTAGTATATGCGTACCCAGTACGCATACAATTAAAATCGCCTTCGAATTATAGACTTTGCATAAAAGCTTCTACATGATAACGAGAAATATCAAGGATTTCGCATGAAATTAATTTCGAATATATCGTAACCGCAAGTATATTACTGAAATCACTTGTGCTTGAAATGTAAAATTTAAAAACTGTCATGTCCTGTTTTATCATTAAGACAGTCATCTGGAGAAATTTAAGATTATTGAACCTTGACTGAACGGTTCAATAACATATTCGGAAATTCAGATGTATACCATACATAAATTCATCGCCTGATGTAGATGATAAAAGTTTCAAAACATATTCATGCGACATCATTAATATTAATAATGATAACATAACGTATTTCTCTTTTCCACCGCATAAGCAAGTGAATAAGTTGCATACAGCGAAACCTTCTTTGCGCTGCAAAGCTCTTAAAAGAGGAATCTGATTTGCACAACAATTGCGATTTAAATTCTTTTTAAGTCACCCATTCTACGGCAGAACACATCCAGAGATGGTATGGAAATCAAAGCATCTTGTTTTTGTGGTTCATTTTCTCAATCGGAACTGCTCGAGAATTCGTTACAACAAGACATAATACCCATAGGCCCTTTTTTGTTGTTAAAAATTATATCCAAATTCCTATAAAAATCGATTACCGTTATCTTTTATAAGTCTCGATACGAAATTTCAGAAAACGTATATATGCATCGCATTGGCCTAACATTTCCCACATCGAAAGTTTGAGTGATTTGAGCAGGTGGATTGAAGGCGAAAACTGCATGAAACAATGTTGTTAAATGACACGCCACGCTAGATGCTTCGAGCGTATCGAAATAGTTAGCAACGCTATGGGAATATTTGCGGTTCGTAAAATACCAAAGCAAAGAACAAGTTGTTCATTCAGTAGCGTAGCTAGTAGCATCTCTTTTTTGTTTATATTATTAAAGGATGAATAACAAGTAGAAGAATATGTTGTACATAAAATAATCTATGTTAAGGGTCCGTGTATAAATAATGAATCATTTTATAGAGGAGTCTATAAAATTTTTTACTGACTATGTATTGGGTATAGGATAAAACGTTATAAACGGTAGGGGCTAGTTAAAAAATGGTAAAACATATATTACTTCAATTCAGTAGGCTTTATAACCATCAACATTATTGGCTAGGTTTAGCGGGAGGCTTCGTTGTCACCACGAATGAACAATATACATACTTAACATTATATAATTTGATATTCTGTTGAAATAAGATTTCATCACACAAGCATTGACTCCCGTTGACAAATAGCATAATGAAAACAGATGGCATGCTTCCCACTTGTTGCCAACAACTAGCCTTAAGCGCTTTCATACAAAGCAACATGTTTCAGAAACATTTTTTTGCAGCTATATTTATCTTGTTTTTACTTAACTCAACACACAAAATGAATAAATTATCGCTGGAAAAAAAAACTAGAACACATCAGTATCTAAATTGAGCAGTTCTCATCAACTGTAACCGTGAAACAAAAGTTCTTCACTGTTCGGATCTCGCCCAATTGTTTATTCAAATTCATATTTCTGTTTGTTTTTTCATCAATTTTCACTTCACTGCTCGAACCTTTCAAAGCGTTTGGCAGAATACGGTAATTCCTCTTTCTAGCACTACGAAGCATGAAACAGCTAATACGCTCTAGTTTCCGTAGATACGATGCTGAGCAAAGCGAAAGGCATGTGCTACTGACAGAAGGTGTAAAGTGATTAGATGATTAATTTATTGTTTGTTATGCACGGGCTTGATTGAAATATATCTTGTTTGAAGAATTAAGAGCGTTCATCTCTTCACCTAAACAGATTTTCCGCAGACGGCTGTTGAGAAGACTTTTGAGATCCGTTCAGAAGCATCTCTGAATGTTTGGAATCATTTGGATGATTTTGTGCGCGCTAAAAATAATAACCATGTGAGAGCAAACGAACACCAACAGCGAAAGCGGATACAAAGGACCGGAAAAGATGCTTAAGAGCATTTAGCTCAGTGTGATGAGATTTAATCGTAAATGAATCTGTGAGATATGATTATGATGTTACTTACTTGTGCCGATATGCACTCTTTTCATCCATGGATAAATTTGAGGCGGTCCTCCACTCTTTTTTCCTCCACTTCCGCCACCTTGGGAACTGCCTCCTTCAGTACCACTATCATCGTCACTTGCGTCGGATTCATCACCTTCTGGGCTCCCCAGGGGTAAATTCACTTGGTTCACTGGGTTACGATTACTAATATTACTGCTGTTGTTATTTGTATTACTATTACTAACTGACGCTGCTGCGCTGGCAGATTTCATTGTTCGTGACACATTTTCTACTACTGAGCTAGGTGATAACTTCGGTGAAATGTCCGGCCGGCTACCGCTTCCTCCTCCTCCTCCGCCGCCACTGCTATTAGTACTTGCCGTGCTTAGGTCTTGCGGGCTTGTGGTACTGTTATTATTGCTACTATTACCTACATTTGTACCTGTACTAGTACCTTCACTAGCATATTTACAACTTTGAGAACTGAGGCTGGACTGTTGCTGTTGTTGTTGTTGTTGATTCAACAGAAATTTTTGCGGTTGCAGTTGTGTATAGTCTACCATTTCATTAGTTTGATGTGCACTGCTGGTACCGGTAGCGTTGACGTTTCCAGGTCCCGATGCTAGTGGATTGTACGACTGAGGGTTAGAGTAGTGTGCCTGATGTGGTGTGCCTGGGTACAAGTTAGGAGTGTAGGCCGATGGCGGGAAATATCCGTCACTTTGACCACTACTGCTACTCGTTTGGGCATTGTTGGGATTTGGTGCATTATTTGGATAACACGAAGCAAGTGAGTTCACGAATTGATAGGAAGACATCACAAAATTATTGGCATCCATGTTAGAGTGTCAATGTCCAAGACCATTCACCTGTAATGAATAAATGACATATTAATAGAAACAAATATTTAGTAATGAGCATCGTTTTTTTTTACAATAATGAAGAGATTTTGTGTGTTGTAATTAGTGTTTTCATTCCCGGGAACACAAATTTCGTTTCCCGATATCCCAAAATTTCCTAGGAAATTTATATTTACTCAAAAACTGATTCAGTTGAACTTCATTAAACCAATCATTACCGTGAGATGTTGCTTGTATTTAATCAAATATATTATATTAACAATATGATCCATTCACGCCTTTTCCACATATATCAAAGGCAACCTGAAAAATATTGCTTCACGCACCAAAAAATGTCAGTAACAATCTATCAATTACATCGAGGGGCGCAAATATATTAAATACATTTTGTATATTACATGATAATTTGTCTCACTGTCACTGTTGTCTGACTGTCACTATTGTCATTAAATAAAATACACTCAAGTCTTCACAAGGTTTTTTTTTAAACGCGTTTTTATTTTATACGGTTGGTGCCGCTGAGTCACGATTTACACGGTACATTTTTAATGATTTCTCCATAAATCAAGTCCGGGATTTCCAAAACATTTTGGTACTTGAACTGTGAATTGTGAAAGCTCTTCAATATCCCACTATTTTCTGCTTGCTTTCAAGGAACTTGAAAATGCTAGAAGTGTATTAAATCAACTTACTTGAACAAAACTCAAACCACGTTTAAAAATATAGTGAGCATATTATAACACATGTAATGATCCGTGACGACCATACTCATGGAAACCATGACTCTGAGATGATCAGCCCTCTTTGGAAGAACTTTTCAATAATGGTTGAAAGCGGACTGAAATGAATTAGGTGAAGAAAGAGAGAAGGATTAAAAATTTACATTTAATTGCACTACCTTATTTGCTTATCTTTGACAGATACGCATTTTTCGCCTATAAGTCGAGTATACCTCTGAAGAAGTCTGCACATTGTAGACGAAATACGCGTATCTGTCAAAGATAAGCAAATAAGGTAGTGGAATTAAATGAAAATTAATAATCCTCTTTCTCTCTTTTTTTTATACCGGTATTCTACTGAGACGCCCACATTCATCAGGATGAATTCGATTTCATTCGAACATTTAAATGATCTTCAATACAGTACTGGGTATAACAGTTAATCCGACTGGAATCAAAAACTACTATAATTTAAAAGTTCACGTACGGTAGGCTCACAATATGTCAATGACAATACACCTACTACTAAAACTGAATCCATTGGAACAAAAGCTTTAATTGGAACTAAAATCTTCTGTCCAAGAATTCTTCAAAGTCACATGAATGCAGAAAGCGCTTACTCTTTTTGAATTGTACGGGAAACTGTACGATGATTTCAAAACATTCCATACTACTTCCAGCGAAAGTGAACGTGTATTCTCCCTTTCCGCAAATATTAGTAATAAAAAAACATATGTATCAATATATACTCTCAATTTCCTGATACCTAGTTCTAATATTAAATGAGTTGTTGACACATCACTTAGCTCGGTCAGTAAAGATGCAGATACAACTCAGCTAAACCATGCTAACCAAACAACAAATTAACAACTTGAACTAGTTCAAGTACAAAGCTAGCCCGACCAGAACTGTGTAACAAAATGCTATCATGATTATATCAAACTCTGTTATAAATACATCCGTTTATATACTTGTTTTAAGTGCTCTGTGATGAAGGGTGGAAGAAAAACAGATCATGGCATTTAAAAAAATGTTCCACAAGTTTTTAGAATTAAAATTCATAAAAAAATATTCACAAGTCTTGTTACTATAAGCAGAACAACAAATTGAAAAGTAATTTATTTTTAGATTTCTGATGGAGTTTAGTCTAGGATAGTAGAATTTTAAATGGTTTAATGGCTATGGATACGTTTTTAACTAGGAATCGGGCTAATATTTATTTTTTCAAACAGCATTACCTTCTGAGGGGTATATGATACATATTAAATAAATTATTACAGTGAACTGCCTCTACTCGGTATATCAAGTTTACTTCGCGCAAGTCCCATATAAATTTCCAAAATTTACCTCCGTAACGCGATATCCTCTCTAAATCGATGGTCTCTTCAAAATAGAGTTAGGGAAAGTTGATTGTAATGAAAAATAGTTATTAGAACGGCACTTATCGTGGCTTTGCTTAGATGTGTAGATTCACAGGCGCTTCCTTAAAGCATAGTCATGGTCACTATGATGGGTCAAGTTTATTATGTGGATCACAACTCTATGCTCCCTACTGCTCTTTCAATGCCGCTCCAACAACTGTGCAAAATTTGAGTGAATTTGGTTATGATCTGAATTTCCGGGAGCATTTTAAATTTTGTATAGGAAAATTTATTGAGAATGACATGAAACTATTCATTTGCATACTCAATTGTAGCCAAACCTTGGATTTAGGTTGGGAATACTATGCAGAACAACTTTGTCGGAAACCACAAATAGATTAAACATCTGAGAAAAAGTTTTAGTGAAGTAAGGCCTATTATGATCTTGTAGGTATGAATTAAGCATTTGGTTAAAGTAAACGTTAAATAAACTTTAAACAGAAGTCGAATCAATTGCAGTCTTTCAGAAAGTTGTTATGTATAGTAAGTATTCCCAATCTAAGTCCAAGGTTTGTTTAATATTGATAAATTTTAGAATTTTTCGCAAGCAAATGAATAGTTTTGAGTAATTTTTCCATACATTTGCCCAAACAAAATTTAAAATTATCCCACAAATCCAGATTATAATCCAAATCGCTCTAATTTTGCACGGTTTTTGGGGACCTTAATGCGCATCAAAAGAACACGAGGTTGTAATATTAACCCACCCGAGTAGGCTATTTTGAGTTTCGATTAGCTAAAAATCACCAAGCTACCTAGCCCGAAGCGTACAGTTCGGATCCACTTCAATTAATTAATTTTGACATCCTGAAAATGTTATAAGCATTTGAGATCAAGAATGCAAGAATGCAATAGTAATTTAAAATGCCACTCCAAGACACTTATGTCTTCAAGCTTACCTGAGTTAAAGTCGACGATAACTCATTAAGTATTTCATCGATTCTCAACCTGGGGTTTGCGAATCTTTACCAAGTGAAAAGCACATGAAAAGTAGCGATGTTGAGCGAGCATGACCGCACGTTGGGGGAACGTTGAGAACCAATGAAGCATTTCCATACCCCCTGAATTTGTGTTTCCAAAATGCGCAATAATAGCGTGATCCAATGACATACGCTCACATGACCGATATCAGCAAACATAAATTATCAGTTCAGTTGCATGCCTTAATTGTTGGCGTACGTTCAGCTATTCAAATGTTTTGCATTTTGTGAAATTTTATATTTTTTCTTTGTTTACAAGCTAGAGATGAACTAGCCTAAGGCTAAAAATCTCTTTAATAAAGCCTAAAAAAAAAAAATGTTTACAAGCAAAAATTTTGAATAGGAAATTTCAAAACTCATCCTCAAATGCTAACAATCAAAACTATACCTCGAATTCTTCTCAAATTTGCCATGAATGGTGTGGGAGTAGGACGAAACTCAAAACCATATAGCGTAAGTGCATCAGTTTTGGTCATAATTTCCTATTTCGGTAATACTCAGATAAATGGTAAAGATTTATGAAGGTTTAGGCACAAATGGTTTGAAATTTTAAATTTCACTTATATCGCTCAAACTTTGGTTCTAGTTGTTCAAATGCTGAAAAAAATAAGATGTGGTTGCTATGCAAATGACCAACAAGCCTGTTGTTTGTAACGGTCAGTTTGACCGCAATTCAAGAACAATAGGATAAATTGATAGTTAGTTGAATATGTGTCAAATAACAACACGAACTTTATCACAACAAGCAACAAGCTTGTCATGGCAACAACAAATTATTTTTTCCAACGTTTGGACAACTAGAACCAAAGTTAGAGCGATGTAAGTGAAATTCAATAATTTCCCATCTAAATCTTCATATCAACTTCAAGCAATTTGCGCGACCTCTAAACCCTTATCATTATTTACCTTTTTTTGAACAGACTCGTATTTTAGGGTTATGAATTAAACTAGATGGTGGCCTATAATTAATTTAACACTGTTTTTAAATTAAACACCATAATGTATATGTTTACCGATGGATAAGATTTGAATCAACAATATAAACACAACTTAAGATCACAGACATGTAAAAAACGTGAAATGTCATCAAACATGGCCAAAATAGGTGCCTTTCCCATACAATGTACAACTAATATCCTATTATCGATATGCAATCAACAAATCGCTTTCACCCTATTATTTGTTGCAATAAGTACACCTTATTTAGTTGCTGAAAATCTCATAAATAAATTAAAAAAAAAAAACCTAATTTAATCAATTTCAAAAAAAAAAAATCTGCTTCTACCGCAATCTCTAATGAACTATTATGTCAAGGCTAATTTTCACACAGATAACGCTGTTGTAGTAAAAATCCTCCTATAGAAATTTGGAAAAGTGATAATAATACGCATTTGAAACATATTAAGGTCCAAAAAAGTTGACGACAGACTACAAAATACAGTACATGATTCTGCAAAACGTATCTGGTACCTCTATATTTGCATTCAGAATAACATCCGAAGTCCCTCCTATTTTACATTTTCTACACAAAGATACTTTCTAAACCGCGCTCCATTCTTCAAAACGGCGGGAAATATTGTTGGGGGCGGGGGTTCAGAAAGTATTTTTTGTTCAGAATACGTGAAAAAGGAGAGTAATAAATATAAATTGATGATGATTCAGAAGGCAGAAATTCAGAAACGTATCTCATTAAATTGTGTTTTTAAAGCGGTTTTTTTTTTCTTAAATTTAAGGACGTCTGTACGCTTAATTTTGAGATACACTGTATAGAGGTATCAGATATGTTTTGTACTACAATCTCCTCTGTGAACAATTAACGGAAAACAGATCTGATGGAAAATAAATGCATAAGTGCAAACACAATATGTATTGAGAATTTACACAAATCA